TTGTTAGCTTTGAAAACACAGCCGGGTCAGGTTCCCGGGGATCAGGTAGACCCAGCAAAAGATTTTGTTGCTCAGGAAACTCTGGGGCAGAAATTTCCAATCTGGGATCCATGTGCCCTTGGAGGGGTCCAGAGAAGGGCTTCGGGGAGCCCCTGAGATTATAAGCAAATCGTTGCATTTACACGCATGTTGGGGGAGACAGATATTCACGGGAGTGCATTCACCCCAGAAGGCTGAGAAGCGTGTTTTGGGGGGCACAGTTCACTAGACAGACATTTAGAGTGAGAACTGTCACTTATTCAAATCCAGGAGGAAATTTAGGGCTTCTGCATTCTACCTGTCCCTTCCCAGCAAAGAAAACAGAGACACAGAGATGTTGAGTTAATGTGGCCAAGCAAGGATTTTCACCAGCTACTTATTGACTGAAATATAGCAATACGGTACTTAGGGACTCTAGATGATCTGTAAGACTCAGGAAAAAAATGAGGAACCGTGGACCACAGAAAAGCCCCCTTGAAAGGCCGTTGAAATCTCCAATTATCCCAAGTGTTTGTGATCACTCCTTTGCTCTTCTGATGCACCTGACTTATATTACACATAGAGCACTATACCAATTACCCTACAATTTACATTATACTGTTTCCTCAACCTTAAATGAACTTCAGAGAGTTGCTCTTGAATCCTTGGGATTATTGACATTTCAGGTTGGATGCTTCTTGTTGGATTTTCCTCGTTGTCGGGCTATCCGGTGCATTGTAGGATGTTCAGCAGCGTCCCTGGCCTCTACGCACTAGACCCCTGGGCTGTCACCCCCCCCCCCCCCCCCGCCCCCACCCGCCGTTGTGACAACCAGAATTGCCACCAGACACTGCAAAATCACCCCTGTTGAGAACCACTGCCTCGTGACAAAGGTATTCTAACATCTGTCACGATTTGACATTGCAGGTTGCTTAGGCAGGGGCTATACCTTGAACAACATAAGCTCCGTGCGCTGAATTTATCAGCTCAATAAAAGGTCAGTGTTTGCGTTCCTGGATTCTGCAGGCCACATCCAGTGGTTCCGAATAAACAGCGGGTTAACGGCTTTGAAAGAGAAGAAAATCAAAAGGGAACATTTCATTCCACTTGTTCTCTCAGGCACTCCTGAGTTCTGCACTAGGAACAAGTTAAGCCTTTTATTATTATTTTTTTGAGCGGTAAAATATAGGTTGTCAGCTTCTCCAGCATGATAAGGAAGAATACAATTAGAATCTTACCCAAATGAGGTTTTCCTTTGGCCTCACACAATGCACTCCATTCAGAGTTCTGCACAAAGAGAACAAGTCCCCCTACTTCCTTCATATTCTTTAAACTGGGAGTTTGGAAAGGGCCCAGCACTCCCCGTAAAAAATTTTTTTAAATTGTCGCTCTTAATAGTTACCTCTTAAAATAAGCGTGGTGGAACACAACTTTAACACTCTAAAATAAACTGTGCCCTTATGAAGGATTCCAAGTAAAGCTGATGAGCGCCCCCCCCCATTTTTTGTTCTTTCTCACCCCCACCACTGTGCCTTGCATGATTCTCAGAGTAGCTACATATGCAAAGAATATAAACAGTGAGGAAATACATTTCAAGCCAAATCTTAGAGGTAGGCAAATTCATTCCCACCCTTTCGATCGTATGGCCTTAACAAGATGGCAATAGGGACGGGGCTGGGGGTGGGCAGCGGCTGGAAGAAGCGGCCGGTGGGCTGTAGCGCAGATGGGTTGGCGCGAAGGATTAAGTAGAGGTTCACCCCATGAGGAAGGGAAAACTAGTGCTAAGACACCATCCTCAGGGATGTTGAAAGGAGAAAATCTCCGAGTCATGGAAGCCGAAATTCTGCCAGAAAGGCCAGAGCCTGGAGGAAGGTAGGGTCTGAGATCTACCCACCTGTGCTCCCCCAGCCCCACCCCCACCCCCCGCAGGTTCCAGCAGGTGGCGTCCTTGTGTTTAGTTACTTTTAATAAGCTTTAT